TCTTTTGTAAATCAATTTCTATTATTTTCCATTCAGGTTGTACTCCAAAAAAGATATGGCTAATGGTAAGACATGGTACAAGGTATCCTGGTAAAAAATATATACCATCCATGATTAAGATGCTGCCAAAATTACAACAGACTATTTTAGATAATTATCAGATGGGAGAAACAACTTTAAACGATGAAGATATAATTTTATTGAAAGATTGGAAAATTACCTTTACCGAGGATGATATCATGAGATTAGCAGATGAAGGTGGAAACGAGATGATTGATCTTGCAGAAAGATATCAGTCTAGGTTCTCATCTCTTATGCCAGAATTATATAGTAATAAAACCTACAGGGTAAAAAAATATACATTTTTTACATCTCACTGTGGATAAATTTATGTTTCTGAACTATATTGAATTAAATTTTAGTTTAAATACACTGCTACTCAACGTACAGAGGAAAGTGCAAAACATTTTGCCACTGGTCTATTTGGTAGACATAATAGTTACAAAGTCTGGTACCCAGAGGCAGAGCACAAAGACCCTGTTCTACGAGTAATTATATTATCATTTAATAAAAACTACTTTATTTTCTGTACTTAATTGTTTTATTTCAAGTTTCTAGTTTTACAAACGTTGTGAGCGTTGGTTGCGTGATGTAGACAATAATCCAGATGCTCAAGAAGAAGAAGGACATTTTTTGAAGAGTGAAGCTTACACTGGGATGTTGAGGGACGTTTCTGAACGTATTGGTTATCAAATCGATCATGGTTAGTTAAAAGTAATTAATTTGATACAACAAATTGAAGAATACAGTATACAAAAAGATATATTTTAGAAATTGCAAACTTGATGTACATGATGTGCAGTTTTGAAATTGCATGGATACCAGATACGGAATCCCCTTGGTGTAGAATGTTCACATTGAACGAATTCAAGGTAAGCCTTGAGTTTTATGATTTTATTTTAGCGATATAGTGACCAAAATGTACAATCTTTCAGATACTTGAGTATGCTGAGGACATAAAAAAATACTGGACTGATGGATATGGGTACAAATTGAGTTATGAACAAGCATGCATTGCATTAAGGAATATGTTCGACTTTTTCAGGTAAGTTCGCCTGAGCATGTGGTTGTGAAATATTGTATGGCATAAGATCATATGCTTTTTGTTTACAGAGAAGTTGATGGACCATTAGTATCAGCATATTTTACCCATTCAGGCACCATCTTGAAGTTGTTGGCTGCTGTAGGAGTTGCCAGGGACGATCAACATTTGGCTCATAATCTTTATAATCTATATGCAGATGATAGAGCTTGGAAAACTGGTGTCATTGATTCATTTGCATCTAATATAGCATTTGTTTTGTACAAGTAACTATCAATTATATTCGTTACATATGCACAAAACATTTGGCAACAGGTTCACCCCGCATCCTCTTGCCAAAATATGTGCTATACTTCCGTGGACGGTTTTACATACATCGTTATTATACTTGTTTTCTTTTTAGTTGTTCATCTAGCGGCCTTAGTGTTCTTTTCATGCATCAAGAACGACCACTCTATCTGTCAGGATGTCCTTTACATGTGCCATGTCCATTATCTATAATGAAGGCGCTGTATCCTGACCACGAAGAAGAATGTCCGTTTGAAGCAATGTGCGATATGGACGAAGACTCGTAATTACAGAAGAATAAATTATTCTTTAGTCGAGATTATATAAATTGCATTTCTACATTTGCATATTTGTATCATATTTAAAAAATAAATGTTAAAAACATTATAATAATTTTGTGTTGCCTTTTGCGTGATAGTTATTAGTATAAGATCAAATAGAACTTTTAGTGATATTGTTAAAACGGTAATTGCCCGTAAAATTAAAACTAATAAAAGTCAAAGGATCAAATGTTTATTGTTGATAATGTGATAACAGTGGTTCAGAATGCAAAGTACATTGTTGTTTCGAATCTTTATTGAAGCAGTAAATAGAGAGTTAAACGAACACTGGTTGAGGCATTTAATGCGACAGTTCATTCGACTTGTAGTGGTCGTGTGACCAATTAGGAAGGGTTCGCAAAAAATTAATCGAATTCGGTGGGGTGCAGTGAGTACGCGTGATGCAATTTCCATTCAACCCACCCAGGGAGCTTCTGAAAAATAAGGGGGTGTAGTTACGCTCTGAATGCTTCCATATTTCTATATCATTGATCCTGTTCCATTTCCTTCAATCATTTTATATCTAATAATTTCAGTAAATTATTTATGTAATCGATAGGCTTTGTTCTCAAACTCTATTGAATCTGCTTTGCTCGAGTATAACTATTTTAAATTATACATTTTGCTAAATTAAATCATTATGTATATATATACCAGCATCTTCCAATTTATGAATAAAAGTATAAAGCGAAAATAAGGAAAATAAATGTTTTCTTCATCGGGAGTTTTCGATGTCCTCTGCAAAGGCATTGAAGAAAGTGATAGTGATAAAATGTCCTACTCGTTCATTCCTGTGGCTGATAACGATGATGAAGCACTCAGGAAGCATTTCTAACTTCATGCATTTATTTATTGCAATTAACATAAAAATCAATTTCAAATGCTAGGTAAGTGGGCTACACCTTTATCTTTTCCTTAATATAACTTCGAATATAGTAATTCAAGGTCTGAACAAATATTTTGATGGTGGTACAAAAATGTCCAGGAGACTCTCCTGCATCTGTATCATGAATAAATAGTTTATTTGTTACTGCAAATATAAAGAACAGGTGATTCTTACCGCTTTCATTATAAGATATAACGTAAAATCCGGCACGAATCATCTGCTCCTGAAAATATAAAAATAGCGCCATTACACGCAGTGGCAAAATGCTCAAACAGTTCAGCAAAATCAGCTGTTGGTAACTTGTCTACCAGTTTCAGCGTTTTGACACTGCATGTAATGGCGCTGAACAAAGATTTTAATGGGAAAACGTAGTGGCGTCACCTGTGCTAGAATACTAATTCCACAAAGTTATCATCTGTGAATAATTTTGGTGAACAGTTTGAGCGTTTTGCCACTACGTGTGATGGCGCTATTTTTATATTTTAAGAAGCAAATGATTCGTGCCGGATTTTACATTGTATCTTATGGCGAGAGCGGTAAGAATCAATTGTTCTTTATATTTGCAATAACAAATAAACGTTTTATGCATTATACCGATGCAGAAGAATCTCCTGGACATTTCTGTGCCATCAGAATATTCGTTTAAGCCTTAAATTGACAGACTTCGTGCCATTTTTCCTACACGTATTCTCCTGATGGCTCGGCAAGAATCATGTATGTAACGAATATTCAATTTTCCTGAACATTCTCTGCCCTGGAAACATTCTAACAATTCTCGTTCCAACACAATACGTGTATAAACATATGAATATTTTGAGAAATGCTCCAATCAACATGAAGACATTTTATGAAACATTGAATGAAAATTAGAGTTTCCATGAACATAATCTACCGAATACGAATGTTACGAATGAAAGTAAACGAAGACATACAAGAAATAAACATAGATCCCGTTCTGTTAGGAAAGTTCGACATTTCTCATTTTGAAATTGTTAGAATTATAGAGACTTTTATATTGCAATAAAAATGTCACACGGTCTAGATAAATGCAGCGTTAACGTTCTTTCAAAGCCAAAACAAAGTTTTGGTGCACGGTAGTCAAATGAGATAAAATAATAAAGTTATTGTAATAACAAAGTAGCACATATAATAAAAGCGACATACAATATTTCCTTTTACTATGTTCTCCTATTTCAGCGAGTATCGGAAGGATTAAGTAGAAAGAACGAGTTACAGCGGCGGTGCCAGCGGACAAGTGAAATACCATCGACGTCGGACGTGTCAGGCGAACGTACGATCTCATCCCATTATCCGGCGACGCTGTTCCCATCCAGGATCCAGGGAAATCGGGGCCACGGCTTTAATAATACCGAACGGTTGAGATACGCGGTGCAACGGCAAAGAAAGGGCGGGAAAAAAAGGAAAACAAAGAATTAGGAAGTTTAGCTTCCTCTTAAGGAGAATCCACCCCTTTCGCTCCTCCCCCCCTCGCGAGCTGTCCGTTATCCAAGAATTGGCTCCCACCTTTTTACGAGGATAAACGGCCCGACGACGGAGGACCCGACGATTTCCCGTAAATCGATCATCGCTCGGTCGCCCGTCGATCTAATATAGAATAACGCCCGGAGAAACTTTTTTCCCTGGGAAATCCCCGTTTGCCACGGGAGCGATCTTATCCTCCTTCTTCTATTTTTCGTGGCCGGGTTCAACGAAGGGCCGGGATTAGTTCACGGGTTTATGGAACCGGTTTCGGGTGCGCGACATAAGCGAAAAGTTTCGAGTTCCATTTCGAAAGTGTCTCTCCCGTTTCGGACGAGGGAATATTTTCTCTCTTCTTACCCTTCGCTGGAAACTACGAATATTGTCGAGGACATATCTCTCCGAGTAAGTATTTATTATTTATTTAATTTATTTCGTTTATATTTTATTTATTTCATTTATTCGCTTAATCCTTGCCATTCGGCTTCGAACGACCTCCGACTTGGATTAACCCTTAGAGCTCTATGGACGCATATATGCGTTTGGCGAAAGTGATCCGTGTAGCCTAAGGCCGCATTTATGTGTTTTCTCTAAGTCATCGGCCTGGACTAAGGGCGCATATATGCGTTTGTCGATTTTTTCAATCAATATGCAGTTATTTTCGTGTCAAATTAATACAGGGGCACTCGTTAGTGATTTGCCTTCCTTAGGTAGCGGTTGGGCAATATTAGGACCATAAAAATCCCCGGCAATTTCCGAAACGGAAATCTCATTTTATGTGTCCCACTCTCTAACCAATTAGATTTCAAAATAATTACCTGCACTGTCACCTTTTCGCGACTCAAAGCACTCAAAACGACTCGGTCAGCAGTATCGTCTTGCGAATGTAAGAACCTCACGGTCTCGCTCGCGTCAACAACGATAGTGCGGAATATAACTTGTTCGATTATTTTTGTTTATTCGTGACACCCCACAAAATGTCAAATCTTGAGGAATATTTCACAAGGGACGACAGTGAAATAGAATATAG